TGATGATGATGATGATGATGATGATGATGATGATGATGATGATGATGATGATGATGCTGATGATGATAGCGATGTAGTGATGTTCTTCAATCCACTGCTCCCTGTGATTGGAAAACCAATCTCTTCGCCCTCCGACCGCCCCCCCACCGCCAGATCGCTGTTGTTCGTCTCGGCGGTCAGGAAGTTCCAGCCACGCCATCTGGTCCAGCTGAGGCTGGTGTCGGTGTGACAAAACACTTTGACTCACAACTGGGCTCCAAAACAGACATAGAAGAGTCGGTGTGCGCCTTCGTGCTCCACCAATTTCTAGACATGCGCCTTCTGCAGAACCACTATGACATACTATGGCTGTAACTTTGAATGGGAAGGGATGGCCCCTGGATGGAAACCCGGTCCTTTGCTCCAACAGACAAACATATTTAGAGTTCAAAGGGCGTGCCACAACCGAATCCAGGAGATGTTCGATTGTCTGAAGACGCCAAAGCAATACACAGGACGCGACATCTTTTAGACAAGAGTCATCAGCCCAGCCAATGAGTAAGTAAAGATAGTAAAGTGGATGCCTTTTTGTGCCCCATTCTAGTGAGGTCTTAGTAATCTTCATAGCAATCACCGAGGTCACATACCCCGCTTACCGCTGACGTAGGAGCGTCACGGAGCCAAAACGAAGACCCACCGCAATCACCAGGTACAAAGACTAGCATAGCTAGCAACTGCTCTTCAGCTTGGGCACTCAACCGCAGGCGTGGAGCCTCAAGCCACATCGATTACTTCCACGTGGCCAAAAGGATTTAAGACATTTAGATCGATGACCTCAAGGTCACAAAAGCAAGACCCATGCAGCGCATGCAACACATGCAGCGCATGCCCATGACTCCAAAACGATTAAAAGCAAGGCACCCAAATCGAGGGATGTGAACTGGAAGTATGGCCGAAGGTGACTAGGGCCACACAGTCAACCAGACGGAGTCCGACCTGGACACCGGACACTCTGGCAGATGTGGCGTTACACACTGTGCAGATGTTACACATCTCTGGCGGGCGGCGCACAAACCGTCCAACCGCCTCTGCCGCTCGGTGAGTCCCATGGCGGGTCGAACGCTCAACGGTTGGGTTCAGCCACAGTGACGTGACGAGAGTCTTTGACCGCATCATTCCTTTACAGTTTGTTGTCCCACGCTGCTACATCCTATTTGTGGGATCATCTCAAAACGATTGGTTTAATACATCAGCGCTGGCTGTTCAACATCAGCCGGATGAACTGTACGTTCAACCAAGGGATCTTTGGCTTTTCAGGGGTGCCTAGCGTTGGGGACTGTCTTTGGCATTTCCATGCCTTTGAAGGGTTTCAAAGGGTTTTATTGGGATATAGTTGCCAGATGTTTCCAAGTTTCTCGCCCTTTCTCCACAAATGATGATTTTCCGCTCCGGTCAACGCGCAACCCCCCCCCTACGCGGCCCGCCTCTCTTCACCACGTTCCTGCGAAGTACAGGAGAAATCGATCCGGATGTTGTACAGGTGGGATGGACTGGGAGGCCTTTGCAATAGACAACTCTTTGGGTGGAACTGGTGGCAAGAGCAACACCTCAACTCATTGGCCTCCATTGATTCGCGAAGTGAATGGTCACCCCGAAGCGTTGGGAATGACAGACGAACTTACACATCGGTCTTCCAATTCTGAGCCCTCAAACTCGTGCTGCCGTGCCAATACGTTCGGAACTATATACCTGCACGGTACGCACGATCAAATCAAAGATTTGTAGCCAGCTGCTAACTGTTCTTGACTAGATCGCAAAATGCAGTCCCCAAATAGTTCGTTGTTGCCTGTAAAAACTGCAGCACGGGGAAAACCAGATGACAAAACAAGATGCACGAACCCGAATGCAAACACGCACTCAACAACAAACGGCCAAACATTGTTTGACACTCTTGTGGGACACTCTTGTAAGACACTCTTGTATGCGGTGCTCTTATTGGACACTCTTGTAAAGCACTCTTGTGTGACACCCTCGTGTGACACTCTTGTGGGACGCTCTTGTAGGCCATTCTTGCGGGACACTTTTGTAACACACTCTTGTGTGACACTCTCGCACGACACTCTTGTCATGGAACACTCTGGTGAGGTGCTCTTGTGGGACACTCTCGTGGGACACTCTATTAGAGCACTTTTGTCGGCCTCTTTTGTGGGACAGTGGAACTCTTGTGGGGCACTTTTGTAGGACATTCTTGCGGGACACTCTACTCTTCTGTCGTATGACAATGAGACACTGTGTCACTCTTGTAGAACACTTTTGAGGCAGATTCTTGTAGGACACTCTTGTTCAAAACTTTCGTGCACTCTCTCTTGTGGAAAACTCTTTTGGGCTACTCTCATGCGACACTCTTGTGGCTTGTCACAGACTAGACCAAGGTAACACCAAGCCTCGCGGACACCATCAAAAATCCCGCTCCCCAGCGACACGCCGAATTTACACCAGACTCAGAACGGCTTCCTTCCCCCAAGAGCACGGACTCACGCAAACGCACTTTCCATCGCAGCCGCACAAAGCCGCATGGCACAGCAACATCACAGTGCACCACAGACTAGATACAACCATGTATCACCAAGCGTCGTGGACACCGCCAATCATCCTGCTCCCTAGCGACGCGCCGAATTTACACCAGCACGCTTTGCTTCCCCCAATGGCACGGACTCATGCAAACGCACTTTCCACCGAGGCCACGCAAAACTGGATAGCACAGCGACATCACAGACGTAATTTGGCCACACAGTGTGCCACAGACTATAGGTACAACAATGCAGCACCAAGCATCGTGGACACCTCCAATCACGCCGAATTTACACCAGCACGCTTTCCTTGGCACGGACTGACGCAAACGGACTTAACAGCATGACACAGCGACATCACAAACGTAACTCCACACTACACTTGCATTACAATAAAAGGCCGCAGCTCCCAGAAGCTCCTCACCGTAGGACATTTGCACGACAAAGTTGCCAGTTCTCAGGCCACAGCTTCCAGAAGGTGCTTCCCGTAGTACTACAAAGTGGCCAGTTCTGACGCCACAACTCCCAAGCTGCTTCCCGTACCACTTTTGTACTGCCAAGTGGCCAGCTGTGAGGCCAGCTGCTTCCGCACTACATGTGTACTACAGAGTGGCCAGTTCTGCTACCCGCACTACTTTTTGTACTGCTGCCAACTGGCCAGTTCGGAGGCCACAGCTCCCAGAAGCCTGCTTTCCCGTCCTACATTTGTACTTACAAACCTGCCAGTTCTCAGTCCCAGCTCGCAGAAGCTGCTTCCCGCATTACGTCCGTACTACCATGTGGCCAGTTCTGAGGCCACATCTCCCACAAGCCGTTTCCCGTACAGCCACAGCTGCTTTGTACTACCAAGTGGCATCCCTCACAATACACTCCTACTACCAACAGGCCAGTTCCGATGTCACGTACGGCAATCTGGTGGGACACTCCTGTCCGACACTCTTGTAGGCATACTCACCGACGACACTCTAGCGCAACACTCTTGTGACACTTGTGCAACACTCTCGTCGGGCACCCTTGTGGGACACTCTTGTCGGCCACTCTTGTGGGGCACTACACTCTAGTGGGTACGGCACTCTGGTGGTGGGACACTCCCTTGTAGGACACTCGTGGGACACTCTGGTTGGCCACTCTTGCGGGACACTCTTGCGGAAACCTCTTGTGGGATGTGGGACAGGGACACTCTTGTGGGACACTCTTGTGGGACACTCTTGTAGGACACTCTTGTGGGACACTCTTGTTGTGGGACGCTCTTGTGGGACAATCTTGTGGGACACTCTTGTAGGACACTCTTGTGGGACACTCTTGCGGGGCACTCTTGTGGGACGCTCTTGTGGCACTCGCGCACGACACCCCACCCACGTGAGACACTCTTGCAGGACACTCTCGTGGGACACTCTCGGTCTCACACCCTCGGGGGACACTCTTGCTTCCTCCAAAGTCACGTGTTAAGTGACATCTTCATGTCTTCAGCAAAAGTTGCACCACACCACACGTTTGGAATGATTTCGACACGTTTTGAGCAATTTTAGCTGAGACTTGCCACGAAAACACACGCAGCTTCGAAGCAACAGTCTGACACGTCATGCTTCCATCCAAAACCCTTCCATAGCGCCCTACCGCGAAAGGTTGCGGTTGCTACGACAACAAGTCGCGAGTCGCGCTACTGCCAGACCCGCAAAGTTAAACGAGAAATGGTCGCTACGCATTCGGGAAAACATTCTCCTGCAGATTTTCCACGCGCGTCACTTGCGCCCGCGCCAAGCCGTTCGTCAAATCCAGCAAGTACCTCAGCCGCGCAGGTGTTGCAGAGCTGAAGATTTTGATCAAAGGCCCACATGAGATTGAGACGCGATCGATATAGTGGCATGGGTCAACCAACTCGGTAGCTGAGTAAACCTCTCACAAACGCCATGTCCATGCCGAGGGGCTTGCTCGGGATATACACACTTTTTTCTTTCGGAGTGGCTGAGGGCGTTTGTCTGAAGCAGGCCTGAAAGCATTAGCCACAAATTAGGCAATTGGTTCGCCGCCTCCTTCTCTGGCATATACACACACACACCAAAAAAGGATATCCGCCAGGTCCCTTTTTGAAACTGTTTAGTTGCACAAGCGCTTGAAGTTCGCTCGGTAAACTTGAACTCCATGGCTGTTTCCGTTGCGTATCACCCAAAGTGGGCGGGATCGGCTGGAGACCGCACCGGCTCGACGCAGCTCACTTCATGGGCAGCCTGCTTTGGCCGGTTGAGCCTCTCTACCAACTTGTCGTTGGAAGCGGATCGCTACCGATATAGTAGTCTCAGGATTTAAGACGGCCGAAAGCGAGCTTCGCATTTTCGAGAATGTTGAACAGTGGCAGCCCGCAAGCTAGTGGCCTGCTTGTAGACATCTTCTTTGTTCAACTTAGCGTCCAACTTGGAATCAAAAAATACCGGCAGCCGCCAAGGCACGATATCCACAAGCTCCGGCACCACCAGCTTCAACCAAAGTCCAGCCATGAAGGCTTAGTGCCAGCGTTGCACTGGTTAGCCATTGCAGCTGCCTCGCCCTCACGTTCAAGAGGTGGGACTGACAATGGGGCAACATACCATCGGGCAGCAAGTCGTACACAAAGGACGTGTCTTTGCTTGGACGGGAAGCTTTAATTTACCAGCTTAGCCCAAAACCTGGACTTGATTACTGTAAGCCAGTGGAGTCCAGGAAGGCCACCAAATCGTCTGCAGCCCAAAAACGCGGAGCATCAGCATGCCAATAAAAGGGTTGCAATTTGCAGTTAAATCAGGAGGGCGAAAAAACAAGGTCTTTTCCACCACCCAACCGATGCATCAATCCGGTCTTGTAGTTTGAATTCTCAAGCTCTTCGCGAGCTTGTTGCAGGCGCTCATAATCAGAGCTACCGGGGGCCCTGGGAAACCAAAACGGATGCAAAGAATCGTCGATAACTTTGCGCTTTGCCAACGGGGAGACAAACAAAGGAGAAGTGCCTGATTTAGCAAGCAAACCATTAACAACGGCAGTATTGCCAGGGACGTCAGAAGTCAGCGCAAACTGCGTCACTCTTGTTTGTCTCGACCCGCCAGTTGGCGAAGTGCCTGGCAGACTTTGACGCGGGCCAGATCTGTTTCAAAAGGGAGCCTGCATAATGGCTAGTCAACTTGTCCGCGGTGTATTTCGCAAGAACTGTGGGGCAAACGGTCTGGACACCACTATACCACTCTTTGTTGGCAACACCGCCCCTTCTGCCTTTTGGACAATCGGATTGCGAGGAGCCTCAGCCGTGCCCAAACGCAAAAAGTTCACAGTGTGCGTGACACTGCGCTCCTTCAGCACAAAGCTTAACCACTGAGTGCGGGTAGAAAGGCCTTGCTTGTCAGGAGGTTGCCACGTGACAACGGCAGGGGACCGATCCCCAACAACAATGCTGAGGGAAGAGCCCAACTGGCAATTGCAAGCGGCTTTAGCTTGAGAAGGCCAAATCTGCTTAAACAAAGAATCCGCAAACTCAGGGGTGAGCTGTTCACCTGCGTACTTGCAAAAAGCAATACGGCGCATTGTTTCCGCGTCGGTTTTCTGAGGTGCCTTGGCAGCTGTCTGCAGGCCAGGGTTGCGCTGTGTTTGGCCGCAGCCCAGCTTCAGGAGCTTCACAGTACGCATGGAAAAGTTCACCTTTGACAAGACTGAACCATATTGAGAAATCACCGTGAGAACTGCCTTCACTGGGGAACCCAAGCAACCGCCGAATGAGGTGTGTCACCAACCACGCAAAGCAAGCCCGCTCAAATAATGACGCAACCAACACTGCATGGCTTCTTCAGCTTCAGGCTCAATCATAACGCTGGCACAGGCATTGGCGCGGACACTCACCACGACAAAGCTTTGCCAGGGCCGCATGAGATTTGAGCAAAACAGTCTCCCTTCTCAACTGGAAATCCTGCGAAGGGCTGATGTCCGAAGTTCTTTCCGTAAGAGACTTATCTTGTTGAGCTTTCTAGATGGACTTGATTCCGGACTGCTCTGGATGCTTGGGACCCGGAGGAGGTGATCCTGCCTTCGCCTAGTAAGTGACCTCCTTCAGCTGCTTTTACAAGGCTTTTCCGGATGTTCGCGTGAGAGCCCCAGTCCGGCAAATACGTCCATGCCAGCAGTCATCGAGTCATCGAGTGGCCTCAACACCATTGAACTAACAAGCGCCGTTGTCATTCTTGCGGGTCCGACCCATAGCTGCTTGCCGTCGCCATGCAAGGAATGCCACAGGACAAACCACGACGGGCGGCGTTTTCACGTCGTTTCAGAGCACATCTGACAACACCGCTGTATAGCACGCCCACGGCGATGCGCCATCGCCCTCGCCGAAACCATGGCTCGGCTTAGCACAAGGAGAACAGAAGGATGCCGGCAATTTGTCAGGTCCGTTTTGACGCCCATAGGACTAGGCCAACCGAAGCTTTGCCACGCCGATATTTCATGATCAAGGCGGCGCATCAAAAAAAGATGCTGTGCCAAGGCCGCTCCGAAAACACAAACTTTCCGGTAAGGGATCATTGTTGCTCTTGGCCAAAACTGTAGGAATTGGCCCCGCAACAGAACCACACTGCGCCAGCGCTCCATGTTATTGCAAGGTCCTTTCAACGTTTGCACCGCATTGGTAGGTTGCACATGAGAAATCCAGCCGCGATGTCTTCGCAACAGAAACTTCTCAACGGGGTCGGAAATCTGTAGACGCACTATTCTTGGGAAGCATGGAGACCCCTTGAAAACGAAAAGATTGGGGACTGAAGTCAACAGGGACATGAAGAAGGTCATCAGCAGACCATTGAGAAGGGCCGGCCACAGCTCTTTAGAAAATGAACTCACTGCCCACATGGCCAGCAACAGAAAAAGGCAGGAACAAGCAGGCAAGCATGATGTAAATTTGCCTTTCAAGTTTTTGAAAGCATCGCATTGTACCATGTTTTTTGCACGCAATAGGCTCAAACCTTCAGTGTCACGTATATTTTGCTGAGAATCAAGTGAAACCGAGAGGACCTTAAAGGTAAATCATGGGAAATCACTATCTTGATATGGGTGAGCTCAGAAAGGACGCTTGCTGATGGTTTGACAAAGACATCATTGAGGCAAGGTCTGGTTGACATGCTGACAAGCTGAGGAGTGGACGCATCAAGAAGGTTTTCTGTAAAAAAGCAAGAGAACAATCACGCGTTCAGACCTTCGGCTTCAACCATGGGACCAGAATTGCTGGATAGGAATAATCCATTGCGCCATGATCTTCTTCACTCTCGTCGCAACCGTTGTAGGACTTATCACGCTCGGCAACTTTGTCTCCCTGTGGTGGAACGAGTGGATGCGACCAGCGCCGCAGGCAGAGCCCGAGCCGGAGGTGGAAGATGGATGGATGGACGCTAGTGCGAATCACGGGGAGCCTGCCTAAAAGAACAAGACTGGTAGAAGTGGCAGACCAGCGCGTAGTAAAGTGTGCCAGTAGCAACGATGTCGCAAAAGCAACACACTCACCCGCATAGTCCATCAAAACGCTTGACAACCAAGATCTTTGGCGTGAGCTTTCTGCGCAACAGGCTGACCTAGCATTGCAATCGAAGGCCAAACGAAGCCGTGTCCAATGGGCTACGAGCTATATCTTGTCTGGCCGTAGGGATCGCTAGGTTGAAGCTTTACACCTACTGAAGTCACATTCAAAGTCTTGTTTTGCATCTGAAGTTCTTGAGGCCAAGCTGAGGTTTCACACCCAGGTGATTAGGCCTATGACCGGCCTTTGACCAAACAAGCTTGCGAACTCTTCCGTCACGACAACTGCACTACTTAAGGTGATTATTATAGCGGCCGTGGAAGCCCTCACACGCTGAGTTTCCATTGCGGCGTCATCCGCAAAGCTACGAACGCTGACGCTGCTTTCAGCCGCCCCTTGCGCGACACCAAATGGACATATTATGACATAATGGGGCTTCACGCTGAAACAAGCCCAACGCATTACCCTGAGGCAGGCCACGATTGACATGAAAAGGAGCACAATGTTGCGATGCCCACCTCTTCTCGTAGCAACCACAGGCGGAAAGGAATCATGGAGGCTGAAGACTGATCCATTGAGCACGGCTGACCACACTTTCAGTTTCAAGGCAATTTTAAGATCGCCCACCGCGAAAAATCTAGGATCCAGCTCCGAGCTTCAGCGAAAATGGCCTGGCACACAGCATCCTGAATCCTGAGCTTGTGCATTTCTGGGCACGAGCCTCTTCATTGCCATGTCCAAGGCGGGTTGGCCGTAAGAGCGCTATCGATTCCCTGCAAAAGCGCTTTGAGACGCGCCGTCCCGCAACTCCAGTCGTCTGGGTGTGCCTTTCCGCGCTCGCTTTGGTCTTTGCAGGCCTTTGTAGCCTGTTTGATCTGGTCGTGGATCATAGAAGGCGCAAAGAGAAAGATGATCAAAGCGGCTTCGAAGCGTTCCAAGGCCACACACTGTCCCTTTCTTAAAAAAAGATTTAGAGCACTGCGAAAAGTGGAACACGAATGCTCAAAGAACTCAAGAGGATCCCTCGGCGCGCCATCGTGGACAGGTTTAGGATGATTGCGAAGATGCCCCTACGGTGGGCATTAGGGAAGGGGTCGGTGAACCTACAGCTGCAAACTGTCAAAGAACAGAGCGCTAAGCCAGAGGCCTTACTTGGGGCCAAGGGTGAGTGAAGGATTAAAAAATACATGCGGCATAAATATTTGATGGGCATCAAAAAAAGAAAGGCATCAAAAAAACTATTCCCAGTTAGCAATGAAAGGAAA